CCGGCTCTCTAGGGTCAGTTTCTCGTCACCCATGTCACTTGAACTTATGTCCTGCCTGACATCTTGGCTTACAGCCATCAACACCACTCACGGTGTTTAATGATGTAACATCATTCTCATGACACACACATGTCATATGTGCCATCTAGTGGGTTCTCAACCACACTATCGACAGTCATTGGGCCTCGCCCAGGACTATTGTCCTCGACACTTACAGTGTCTACAAAGTCGGATATTCCGACATCCAACATATTGACCGACTCGGTCCAATATCCGCGCCAAAAGCGCTTTTGCTTCCTAGCAGAGGTGGGTTCATGACTCTCCAGAGCCCCACCAGGAGCATTGCGCGTTGCGCTTAAGGTCTTCGACCTCCAATCAGTCCATGGCTCATGACGTTCTAGCCATGCTATGCCTAAGATGAGGTCATACCTCGCATCCAGGTCTAAGACCAAACAGCGTTCCATGATGTTAAAGTCTAAGAGCATTACATTTAAATCCATTGGGACTTTGGATACCGTAACACGCGCACTCCGTCGCTAAGCGAACTATGACTGTGTCGCTTTCACGCGCTACAAACGCTTCAGTATACTGCTGACTACCTTCCACGGTGGCACGGCGCACATAATTTCCAGATGCCCCCGAATCGATCAAAATGATCCATGGCTTATTATAGCCCTTAATCGTCCATTCGACGACTAGCAAGCCTGGCTTGCATTCTCGTTCCGTTTTTGAGAGTTCGGATCTCTTTGGGGCTGAGCCCTGTTTACTTCTACCCCCTAGAGGTTCAACAAAACTCAGTTCTTCCCCAGTAGGACGCCTCGCGCCTACTGGGTTCCGCCGTTTCCTCGCGGCAAACCAGAGGGTTTGCCCATGGGGCGTCGGCCCTTAGATGCCAAATATGCCTCTTTGCAGGACATTTTGCCATCAAATGGCCTGTGCTCTTGCAGATATAACATTTGCGCACAATTTGCTGCTCCGAAGCTTAAAGCTCAGCTTTTTCATCCTCCACTCGCTAACTACTCGTCTGATGGTCTGTATCCGTGTACAGTCCATGGGTACTGACCCATCAGACGAGTAGTTATAAGTGGCAGGCCTAGCGGCCTTAAAGTTGGTCTCGTCATTCCATGCCACTCCAACAGCTTCCTCGAATGAGGACGGGTTTACCCGGTCGACTTCCATTCTGGCAACGCCAGCTCGGAGGCCCTCATGAAGACCGTGACGGTCACTGCCTTAGGAATAGGGTCTATGACCATGGCAGCAATGAGAGTTCTAAACTCTTGTACATATGCCGCAAGCTCACGCTTGCCTTGGCGACACGCCAAAAGTCGCGACCGGTTTTCGTGTGCTTGGTTTGGCGGTGCATACTGCCGGGTCATCTGAACTTTCAGATCGGCTCATGTTGGGAATGCATCTTGCAATGATGCACTACATAGTGAATGCCCTCTGTTTGGCTAGAACACCTAACTTGCCCGTGGCAAAGCCCACACGGTACGATTCATAGGTGATGTCGGCTATAAACATAGCCGACTCGACCTGTCGGAACCAAAGCATAAGGTTGACACCTTCCTACCGCCAAACTTATTGACTTCCATTTGTATGGGTTTTGGTCTGCGAACCACTTCTTGCGCCATAGTCACCATGGGCGAAGGCGCAGAAGAAGACATCTGTGCCTTTACATGCTCGACTAGAGCTTTATTATATTCATCAAGCATATGAATACGCTTGTTAACCTCTTCTTCGCCCTGGGCGATGAGGTGCTCCACGCCCTTAGAGCCAAGGATAGGGAGCAGCTTCCGCAACCCTTCCTGTTGTGCCTGTGACAGGTCAACCGCTGGCATCTCATCGATGTCCATTCTTACACAGAGAAGTAGTCGTAAACCCAGGGACGGGATTGACTACAAGTGCTACCAGGTGTAGCCGAGCTACTGTAGCCAAGCTACTTATGCGCTATGTGCAGAAGAAGTAGTCAAACTAATGTAGCCAATCTACTTATGCACTATGTGCAGAGGAAGACAAGCTCAGAGAGCTTCTACGTCTTAGGGTGTTTAACCTTTCTAGGCTAGCTCGTAAGCATGTGCCTATCGGTAATAACAACCGAGTCACAGAGAGACTACTATCAAAGATACTGATTCCTTAGAAGGAATAGTAAGCTCAAGCAACTAGTGCTATACAGAGCAGGTTTGAAACTGATTTATATTTATGTTTATCTTTTAACACTAAATACAGAAGCACCTACTCTTACTTAGTGCTAGTCACTATTTACTGGCTCTATAGCCTGTCACTATTATGCACCCATGCATAGTCACTATACTTAAATAAGTATAGTGACCACGTGGCTCTGTGCCACAATGCGACCCTTCGTACTTCAGGTAGGGTCACATCACCTACTTTTGTACCCAAGGTACAGCCACATCACATTGTTGTGGCAGGTGTGCATGTACAATACACACCTTCGTGTAACCCCCGTTACAGCAGTGGCATAGCATTCGCGTGGAGGCCTTGAGACGCGTGAAATGTGGCTCCGATGGAGACGAACACGCGGCAAAGCAACAGTGGGTACACGCGCCGTAAGACAAACTTCACTCAACGCGTCTTAGACTGCATCGGTGCCGGTGGAATATTGAATCATCGTTCGTTGATCTTGTGCCGATGTGTGAGAAACGAAGACAGCACTATGGCCTTGAAGAATCTCGTAAGATCGTCTGAAAGTTGTTGTGGGCTGCTGTCGAAGTTGTAATGACAGTGGTGTTGCGAGGCCTTTCTGCCCTCAATAGACGATGATGCATAAAAATTACGCGTTGAGTGATAGGCTAAACACGTGGATTGGAAGGTGAAACTTTAACGAATGCCGACGCGCGCATCCAACGAGTCGAGCTTACACGACGGTGAAAGGTGACTCTTCACCTGACCCAAGAACTCGTTTTCGCACATGAAATCCACCGATATCGCGAGCTATTCGACGCTCGCAACCTCGTCACCTCGCGATCGTAGCCGTTCACGATATCTGGAACGTCTGTCAAGAGTGTCGTGCGAGGTTACTACGAGTCGCTATCAGGCGAAAGCCAAGCCAAGCGAACATGGTGATGCCGCGTTGTCGGAACGTGGCCGTGTAGAACATTAGCGGTGCCACGACCAGCCTGTAGCGGGTCCCTATATTCAAGGATACGCTCAACTAGCTAACGCCAATTCCTAGCGCTATCTTTTGTGAATTGGGTTTTCAAAACTGCGTAATGAGATCCCAAGCCACTCACTTTGCCGGACTACCGACTGTCGGAGGAGGTACCCTGACGCCGCGTATGGACCTTCTCTTACCTTGTGTACCCTTCGGCTTGCGGGTTGCACTCTTCGGGGGACTGAGTTGATATGTAATGTCGGCCTTGAGAGAGGTCGACTTTGGGGGTGCGTCGAGTGGATATACTTCACTCGGTAGGCGGGTAGGTGGCCGGTCGGTCGACTAGGTCGAGGGTGGGTTTATAACCTAATTCTTTAGGGAAGATTCTCAACCCTGGCCTTTTCCTTGATATCTCAGGGATGTTAACCGCCTGGTCTTTACCTGCTTCCGAACCGCTAGGGTAGGGAGACCACTTTCGATAGCGGGTCGATTGGGGGTGCTACTCAGACGAATCCGCAGGCCAAAAATATATCCTGGAGCTCTATTCACACTTATGTTTTACCACACCCTCGACCTAGTCGACCGCGTGGCCACCCAACCGCCAACCGAGCGAATTATATCCACTCGGGCACCTTAAGGTCGACATCCTTCAAGGCCGACATCTGATCTCCACCACTTCTTTCGAAGAGTGCAACCCACCAGCCGACGGGTACACAAGGTGAGAGAAGGTCCATGCGTGGCATCGGGGTACCTCCTCCGACTGTCGGCATTCCGGCACAGTGAGTGGCTTGGGGTCTCATTCCGCAGTTATGAGAACTAACTCCACCACAAAGGCATATATGGCTTTTCATGCTCGACTAGAGCGTTGTTATACTCTCCAAGCACATAAATACGCTTGTTAACCTCTTCTTTACCTTGGACAATGAGGTATTTTACGCTCTTAGCGCCAAGGATAGGGAGAATATTTTGCACTCTTCCTGTTGTACCTGTGACAGGCCAACCTCGGGCATCTCTACGATGTCCATTTTCACACAGAAAAGTAGTCGCAAACCCAGGTGCGGGACGACTACAGGTGCTAGTCGAGCTACTGTAGCCAAGAAGCTTCTTATGTACTACGTGCAGAGGAAGACAAGCTCCAAGAGCTTCTACGTCTTCTTAAGGTTCTTAGCCCTCCAAAGGCTAGCCCGCAACCTTATGCCTTTTGGTTATGAACAACCCCGTCTTCAACAGACTTAGTATCGATGATACAATTTCTTTTTTACAAGGACGATAAATTCTCTAGCACGTATGCTATTCAGAGCAAGTTTAAAACTGATTTATTTGAATGTTGATTTTCTTGCACTAAATGTAGAAGCACCTACTCTATACTTAGTGCTAGTCACTATTTATTTGGCTCTGTTAGCGATTAATATGTAAACATATGTATTCATATTATTTGACCAATTAGAATGACCTACTACTACGTGGCTTTCTGCCACGATGTGAATTAGTTAAGCTTAGATACGGTCACATCAAACCTACCACTGTACCCAAGGTACAGCCACACCACAATGGTGTGGCAGGTGTGTATTGTACAATACACACCTTTGTGTATCCCGTTGCAATTAACCAAATAGCAAAACACTTTTTTATATTAGTTTTATAGCTACTATTGTTTGTTTTAGCACTTTTTTATATTAGTTTTATAACTACTATTGTTTATTTAGTCCTATTTTATAAGTTATATCTTTATTTGTTAGAGGTATCATAGATACACTTGCAAAACTCAATAAAAACTGATCTGTACCGGTAATATCGGTGTTTATAGTGGCAATTTGTATTTCTTACATCACAACCACTCAAACCCGACATTTTTGAAGTTTATATAGTTCGTTGGTGCGCAAGGTTATCAGTTGGCAATGCTACTACCTGTTCGAAAACATTATTATTTAGCTGTGTCGAAAGATTGTCCGTCAAACGTATCACTTATTACAAGTTCTACTCTACTACATTACAGAAGATCAAACGTACCTATCTGCTCTTTAACGTCTCTATAGCAAGGCATCAGCGGAAACGTCAGTGAGTTTGCTGTGTGGTGTCGCTAGAGCTAGCTTCAATCTTCTCTGACTTAGCTTTGTAACTTTGCTCAACAAACATCGTTATCTTCTGCAAAATTTCATTTTTGACGTCTCCAGGTACTAGCGCTGTCAAACACAGCCAATCAGAACATAATCAAACGAGTCCGTCAAACTTTGTTGCTGTTTTCCTTTCAACCTCTTGCTTTTAGTGTAATCTCCTCAACCAGATCTTCCACAGTCACGTGGTCAATGCCTTTTTTACGGATTACCTCTACACAACGAACACGCAATCCTTGTTAGGTTCTCAAAGATATTCTATCGGTATATAATTACACTAAACAACTGATCAACCTTTGCAGTGCAGCTTCATCTCGTCACGCCAGCCACAATCGACAAGCTTAACGCGCAGCAGCTCTTTTACTTGATCCTTCACACCGCTCTGCACAAAGCGCTCGCTTATACGCATCTTTATCTCCGCGTCATTCATCCCAAGCGATCTCTGTCCGTCCTTCAAGCATGACAAAAGTAGAGCCACCGAAGGGTCAGTCAATACACGACAGGAGCTCGCGATGCTGCAAAGAGCACATCCTTACTCTTTTGTTGTCTACAAAGCTTCTTGAAACTCAACCACTCGTTTTCTGCGCCAATAGTCAGATGCTAAATAGTAAATCTCTTATGACTAGTTGAGAGTCAGCTTATTCACGTGACGCGTCACCCTGTCATAACGCATGCAAGTTTTCACTGGCTTGATGTAGCTAAACTAATTATGTAACAAGCTAACCTCTGTAAATGCATACGTTAGTGTGCGACATATTGAATAGTCATTAACTAAGGATTTTCTACTCAAACTTCAACTTGCTCCTTTGCCAACAATGACGCTGGTATAGTCTCTGTCATGACGACAGCATGTCGTTGCTACGACTTTACTAGCAAGAAAGGTCGACATTAAGCTCAAAGGTGCTACAATTCTTAGTAGCAGATTCTCAGTTCTTTGTATCATTTCATATCCAGAATGGTTAGATAAATTGCTTGATTTCGAATTCCCCGTTATCAGAAGAATATAAATACGAACAGATTTGAATCACCAAATTGTAGTTTAGCTACTACAAATAGGCACTACACGCAAATATAGATTGACCTATTGACAATCTGAGGCGGAGCGGTGCATGACGCTAAAACTTGTTCTCAGACGACTTTTTGTCAATCACTTTAGGGTGCTTTTCCGCTGTAATAGGATGATGAAGATGTTGAGAGCGCCAGTGCTGACTTTTCAGCAAATATTTTAACTTCAAGATATTAGGTCAAATTTACGCAATTTATTGAAGCTACTATTTAACTAAACGAGGCAGTGATTGGGTTTCCAATAGCCAATCAAAATGCCAGCATCTGACACTGCTTTGGTTTGTGAATATCCAGCGGGCGCGTGTTTTGCACCTCACTGTCACCCATGGGACATTACATCCGATGACATTGTCAAAACGAAAAATTTTCGATGCCCGAAATGAAGCCAAAATGACAAATCCTTACTGGAAGACGCGTTCTGCAAGTGGGTGAGCTGACACAAAACAGTTAACAAGATAAGTGCAACTTGAATACATCCCACTCCAATCGCACTATGCTCACTAAAGCTAAGCGTTGCTTGACACAGCAGCGCCCTTGTCTGCCATATCAGTGTCCTGTAACAGTAGCTTTTTGCTTGCTGCGCTCGAGGTAGCAGTTCTTCGTATCAACACCGTAGCTCACTTCAGTAGCGGCAGATGGAGCACCACCTGTTTGGTCCACCCTCCATCTGCTACAGGTCGACGACGTCGACCGTAGTTTGCATTTTATTGTCCCGCAGATGATGAAAATTACTGACAGCACTAATAATTCGAGCGTCAAACTTTGACTAGAAGATACTTTGAATGAAAGGCAATTTCGCATTACAAACTTCGAAGGATTGCAATGCTGGCAACAACTTCAGCTGTTGTTACGCTACGTGTCGAACACCGAAACACAAGCTCTCTCGGCGACCGCTCAAGCGCGTCGCGCGACAAAAAAACTCGCCACGTTAGTAGCAAGGTGCGCCGTGTCAATGGATACTGCGGCGAGCACCTAAACCTGCTGCCCCAACACTGTCCGAGCCTGGAGCAGCTGGCTTTGTCTCCGTTCAGGGCCAAGTGATACTATCAAAATACGTGGAACTATTCAACATTTAGTTGTGCGCGCGAGTGAAAAAGATCCCGGTCGATCATTCCTGTTAGCCATATCTGGCAGTCCGCGGAATGTGCATGTTGAAGCGACTAGCAACTCCAATATCCTGCCTGATGCAGCAATATGTATGCAATAACACAACAAGGAAGAATAATACCCAACATTGCCCATCGAGATGCTGAGTCATCACTCCACGCCAATGCGGCGGTGTCAAGCAGACAAGCCAACGACATGCACCGGCAAACGGACGCCGCCAGCGATATATCTGTCAGTCAGAAGCGGATTCTGAGGAATAGGGTCACTCCGGCAGACGAGCACTTCGGTCGCAGATCTATTATCGTGGTCAACGCGCCACGGCCACCGGCGGACGACGGCGAGAATACAAACGCGAGAGTACGAGGGCTGCGGTCATGATGGCGATGACACGGGCGATTGGAGCGGTGAAATCGTTCGTAAGCGGCTAAAATCTCGTACGTATTTGAAAAAAAAGCGGCGCACTGAACGTTTTCTCACGCCCGTCTCTCTCGACAGATGGCGTCTACGGATCTTATTCTTTACAGTAGATTTTTGTTTAAATCTCAAGTTTTGTTTTATATGATATATGACGGTTTATTTGAAGCTGTAGTTACTTTATATTAACTTAACGAATCTAAGGCTATGCTGACTTTAAGGACATTAGATATGACAGTTTGTTGTTTGTAAAAAATGTAATGAATCTTGTTTACTGCGACACTCCGACTAAGTCCGATGTGTCCTCGCGTTGGTTGGTGTGGGCAGCAGCGGGGCAGTGGTCGCAGCTTTAACGGCTTGTCTTTGCGTGTGATATTCAAATGCCTAGAAGCTAGGCACGCCACGACAGTAGCAACAGCAGCAACAGTCCGCTAACTTCCGATCCCTCCCACTTGCACGGCCATTTGAGACGCTTTGGCAGACAGCCCACGCATAGGCAAACAGAGCCGATCCTTACCAACTATTAGTCCCACCCACGGCCGAAGCCAAAGTGGCCGCTACGCCAGCCAAGAAAACAGCCGCGAGGCAGCTAACGAGCAGCAGCGCGCACAAGCCAAGCAGAGCCGAGCCCCTCCCCCTATTCGTTCGCAAACGTCGAACGCCTCCCAAGCGGGCGCGACGCAGCGAACGCAGATGAATGAGCTTACGCCTAGCCATCCAGCACCTCCACCTTCACAGTCACGCAGCCTCACCACGCCCTACGCCTTTTCAGCAAACCCTAACGTTGTGAACCTCGCCGCTATGGACCGCAAAAGGTTGGAAATTTACCTACATTCTTTTTGAGTTGAGTTTATTAAAGTTGAAGCGACAAGGCGCACACTTTGCGTTCGTCCGTCCCCCTTCCCCTTCTTGCTGTACGAAAGCATATTTACAAGCTTGCCTTGCTTTTCCGTCAACGCCAGTTGCTCCCCGTCCCGCATTGGCGACATACGACCATCTAAATGAATGAGTAAACGAGGGCGAGGGGAAGAAAAGGAGGAATAGGGGATGGACCTGTTGCAGTATCCGTCTCCAGCCGGAATTTGTTTTATTGCTCAATACCAAATGTGTTACATGTAATGGATGGTGACTAATCGGTTTCTTAACTCTTTTTTACAAAATGTGTGACTATAGCTTTCAAGGAGTTCCTCGAAGTAGCGTAAATCTGGGTACAACCAAGTATCAGTTGCATCCTCAGCAGCAGGTGAACGAGTATCATGCTGGACAATATGCGCCTGCCAACTATTTGCATCTCAAGAGTCCGTCAGACAACAGAGGCAATCACGGAAGCAAGTTTGATTACGTGTCACCCAGTCAACAATACTCGTCGCATCTGACACAGCAACAGTCATATGCAGCACCGTACAGCTATGCGTCATACGCGCAGAATTATGCTAGCACTGGAGATTACTCACAGCAGTCGCACCACCATCACCAATCGTCGCAACAGCAGTATCACGGAGTTTATGGTCAAGTGGGTGAAACAAATTCTTTAGGCATGCTGGTAAGTTCGGCGACGAACCCCCAGGCATCTCACGATGCCATGCCACATGACCATGTAAATATTGGGCATAAGGACGCAGGAGACCGTAAGTTTAGGCAGCCGTACGGTGTGGTAGCAACCGACTCGTTTCTGAGCTCTAATGGCGGCTATGTGCACGGTATCGAGCGTTCTGGTAACGTAGTGCCGATCAAAACGATGCCCAGCAGTTCTCAGCAGCAACAGCCAATGTACCAGCGTTCGAATATGTACGGTAGTGAAGCGGCGTACTTCTCACAGCAGCAACAGGTGCAGCATCAGCGAACGCAGGATACATCCCAACAGCACAACCCATTAGATTTGGTGCCTCCTAGCGCTGCAATGGGAGCTAGCTATGACAACGGCAATGCAACATCTTCGAATATGGGACGTGGCATGAACAGTGGTATGTTTAGTGTTGGACCGCGGATGCCGCAGTTCAGTCCTAGTGCCTCGGGCTCCTCCTTGACGACGCGATTAAAGGACGGGGGTGTGGACATTTTGACTGGCGCTTCTTCCAATGGCAGCCACGTATCGTATATGCAGCAGCAGTCTGCCGCGAAGTCGATTGAGCATACCCACTCAACCTCGCTGTATGCAGATGTTGCCAGCTCAACGACGTCCATGTCAATGGTAAGCTTATCATCGGAAGGTCCGACGACGACATCAATCAATGCAAATGCTTTGTACCCGCCGTCATTGGCACCACCTCCGTCTCAACTCAACACAAGCGGTGAAGACACGTGCGGTTTGTGCAGTGGCACACATAGCGATAGGATTGCTAACCACTGCGGCCATCGTTTTCATGCTCAGTGTCTGCACACATGGGGAGGATTGACATCATGCCCAATGTGCGCCCAGGTACGACATCTGTGGTCATATTTTCTCCTTTCGTTGTGCTCAGGGATTTATACTATGGTTTTGTATGCAGACATCCAACACTATCACAAACGTTGCGCAGGTGAACGCGGGGAATTATGATATCGGGGGAGAGACTGTTTCTGCAATATCACAAGGCTCGGCAGTCCAAGGAGATATGTCATTGGGTAGTGGTGGTACTATCAACAACAGCAGTACTAACATTGGCAGCAATGCTGTGCCGACAAATACTGTGGGGTCCTCGCAAGGTGCAGCAATCAATAACCTGCAACTAAGCAATACTGTGCCAGGAGGGCGGCCACCTCCTATTGATACGCGCATTCTTGATAACCGTATGGGGCCATCGACACTAAGCGGGGGAAAGCGTAGCGCGACGTCCACTCGGTCAGGTTCCAGTAGTAGTGGGCGCGTGCGCAAAAACAAGAAGTTAAAAGACTGCTCTGTGCCCGGCTGCGATCGTACAGTTCGCTCGCGAGGACTTTGCAAAGGTCATGGCGGTGGCCGCCGCTGCGGATTTGCTGGTTGCGGGCTTAGCGATCAAGGTGGTGGCTTCTGCATTAGTCATGGTGGCGGTAAGCGTTGCCAGCACGAGGGTTGCGACAACTCGGCTCAGTCACGTGGGTTGTGCAAGCTACATGGAGGTGGTAGTCGGTGCACGGTACTGAACTGCACAAAAAGCTCTCAAGGCCGTGGACTGTGTCGTGCCCACGGTGGCGGCCGTCGTTGTATGGTCGATGGTTGCAATAAGACGGATCGCCGTGCCGGCTACTGCGTGACCCATGGTGCAGACAAGAAGTGTGTCATTCCCGAGTGCTCCAAGACGGGTCGCATCGACAACATGTGCACGAAACACTACTTTGAGCGCCACCCAGCGCAGCCGCCAGGAACCGTGAGCACGACACCTCCTCCTGTCATCACTGTGAACGCTAATACAAGCGCAGCAAGAGCTCGCGCTGAGAGAAATAAAGCAGCGGAACAGCAAGTTGACACCAACTACGCGGGCACGTCTTCAGTGATGCTTGCTGGGTCTGTTCCAACGCCATTTGACGGACGATTAGGTGGGACAATGGCCAAGACTGAGCCGTTTTAGACATCATCCAATTGCTGCTTGCAATGGTGTAATTGAAAGCTATCCCATTTGTCATGAGGTTGTAAAAATAGGACTCATGGTGGGATACATGGCAAAGGGATATGGTATTGGAGCAAGCAGTGTGTGGATGGATTGTTGGGCGGACCGAGAATTGTATTTGTAACGAGGCAAAGTGCGCAAAGTGGAATTTACATCATAAAAACGCAAGCTGGATGGAGACTCAAGCGAAAAGAAGAATCGACTGCTTGGCGACCGAGAATGAAACGGACGACCTACAGAAAAAGTGAAAAAGTGAAGACGAGACGAATGGTCACGATGAATTTGAAGTGACAAAATTGAAGATTGAAGACAAGATGAAGACGCACAACGCGGACGAAAAATGGACAAAGTTTAGGGCCAGATGAATGAAGAAGGGCCACTACAAAATTGCAAATTATGCAGATTGCACACCCGGCACCAAGTGAAATTGAAAATGAAACTACAACATTTGAAGGAAGGGAGAGCAAAATGCGAAATGCAGTAAAGAAAAACAAGAAAGTTGATAAGACAGGGTAGCTCAACGCTAAGTAGTTAGCGTGCAAGTTTTCTTCAGATGAATGGGCCAGGGGATGCGTGTATCCGATCATACCCGGAGAGAAAACAACAGCACAAAACGAGTAATTGAAGAAGCGACCCATTGCATATAGGAAACTCAAGTGACGTAGTAAAGTGAGCTCCTCAGAAGTTAAAATTGAGGAGAACGTTGAGGAAATAACGAGGCTCACAGATGAATGTTCAAATTACTGTGCTTCGCTTGAGTTTTCATTGACTAGTTAGCCACTCAAACTGTCTGAGTCTGCACAGGTGCAACTTCTTTTCAGCTCCTTTGTTATCGCTTCCTTTTTATTAGAGCCTACGATATTGTCTCACTTCATTTTTTGACCTCGGCTGCAGACACATACTTGCGCTCTTCGGCCATTTCCGCTCAAGACGCAAAATGCTGAAACCATTTTGCGTTGTTTTTTTGTAACTCGCTCAGCCTTCGAATTCTAGCAAGTCAGTCGCCATTTGATTTGACAGCGAGCAGCTGTAGTAGCTGGTGAGACATTGGCGTCTCCCTCTTGCAGACCTTCAGAAGGTGCATCCATGTTTGACTACAAACTTGTTTCAATAAGAAATGACAGATTGACTGCAAAAACCCGTCGGCACGATGCAGGTACTTCTGTCGACGCTGCCTTGAATAATGATGATGTATCCACGCGTATAATCCGCCGCCATAAACTGACTGATATCAGCTACTGGAAAATTCTGATGATTGCAGAGTTGGTGAACGGGAAAATTCTGATGATTGCAGAGTTGGTGAACGGGGAAATTCTGATGATTGCAGAGTTGGTATTAGCGGGAAGGGTAATCTTTGGTGTAATGTGCTGGCTGACTTGTTTACTTGGCCTGTCGCGATATTTGCAGCCAAGGATGCGTAAAATCAGCGACCTGCTGCTTCAAACAAACGAAGATTTGCTTGCACCCTTCGAATTTCCGGCCTTCGTCTCTTTTGTCAATAAAAATCAGCTTAAAACTTTGCTTTCGGTCAGACGGCACCAGTTGACGTGGAGCAAGTGCATGAAAATGGAAGCGCTCGGTTATAAGATCAGCAAGAGCTGCAATGTGCTTAGCACCACTTCTATTGCAGAATCGTCGCCAGTATCAAACTCAACATCAATGACCAACCGATATTACTAGGAATCATGTCGGCCAACTTGTTGACTCGTGTGCAACAAACAAACGGTCAATACTACAATAAATTATGAGCAAGAAAGCACAAGAAGCTTACACACAGCAAACTATTCTGAGCCAAACAGGATCACTAGCAGCTGATGGAAAAACACAACGCTCACACTAGTCCTATCTACCACAGACTTTGAGCCAAAAAAAGGTTTACATGTAACCCAACCGCCATGCAAGGCGACCAGATCTCATCTATCGGGATTGTCAACATTATTACCGACAGCTAGCGATATTTTGACATCAACATCGGCTCGTCGCCGTCCAAATATCGATTACTTTACGCTGTAATTTCGCCATACCATCTTGAGGTGAAAGAGGGAGAGAGACAACGCTATCTACAATCTGGAAGTAAACCGCCGTATCATCGTTTTTCTGTAGAAGACATGCATCTGCGTTAAAAGCATTGTCAGTCCTTTAAGGTAGCATCAATTTTCTACGTTGAAGTTGCGTTGCTCACATCCTTTGATGTCGTGAAAACTTCGCTTTCATCATTCACAAGCTATCTGCAATAATAATAATAATACATTGCAAGAACATCTTGAGGCCGTTCATTGGTTTTGCGATATATCTTCACATTCTAAATGTATCCTCGCTCGCACTCAATGCATTCCTCTTTCGATGGCGCTTCAGTTTGCTCAAGGTTCATAATCGTAAGAAAAAATTCCAGAATCTACTTTTTATAGCAAACGCTGAGTTTCCAATCTTTCAAGCTCCAGTAAGAGTGGATCATAAACAACTAAAGCATCCGGATTAGTAGGCACAAACTGATGCGGTCGCTTTCACACAATCCTTGCTTTGAATTTATCATTCTTCTTCACAAGTAAATCTCGTACGGGACCAATCTATATTCCGACGCAAAATAAACTTTCTGAAACGCTTTTCCGCAGCTCCCAATAGCTACCAGAAAAGCATCCACATTAGTTGTTAATTCGGACTTTTCCATCTTTTAAACATAGCATTATAATTTCACGTAGGCAAAATTACAGGGCCTATTCGTTCCGGAAAACATCCGTTCGAGTGGTAATCGGCGTCCAGTGGCGAAAATCACTTGGTCGGAAACAAATTTGAAGTTTCGACTAGTTTTGGAAAATAGGAAAGGTATTCATTTAAAGGCTTCCATTGTAAGCTTAAGTTTATAGAAGTCACTAAAGCGAAATTATGATAATGACAGCTGCAGAGAATTTTACAAAAGAAGAAAACGAGACAAGCGCGCTAAACGTTTTCTGTCGTTGTCATGGAGAGCAGTCAGTGCCTGATGTACGTCGTTTGACAATCTATATGCTACCTTATTGCTTTATTTCTTCTTATTGTGAAATGCTGACCTTGTAGTGTAATTTTTCAATGTAATTATTGTGTTTTGGTACAGAGCTTTCAAGCACAAGACGGTGGCGGGAGGAAAAGACATTCAAGTGGCTTGCACCACATGGTACCGTAGCTTATGTACAAATAATGCAACGTATTGTATTGTAATTATTGACGTTATCCTGATCCATGGATGTTTATATTGATATAGCACGTTCCTGAACGCTGGTGACGTCTCCTTATGCGGAATGTGTGGGTTAGTGAAGATTTTTAGTGTCTATATATTGATACTGTAAGTTATATATTAATTTTTGCGTTTGAATCGTTATTGTAAATAACAGTATGGAGATTAAACCTCCGACACATGATGTACAGGCGGATGGAAGCTGGAAATGCGGGAGCTGGTGATATACATACTCAAGTTGTTTCTAATCTTTTTTTGTATCCTGATACTTACTATTGTGATTGTTATAGCGAGGTAGAAAACCAACGAGGAGCAAAGAAATGTACACAGTGCCGTCTTTCTTTTTATTCATTGGTGACGACAGCTGCACCAGCTCAGATCTTTTGCTCGCGATGTGGGTTTTTGAACGATGGAGGCAACCTGAAATGCGTGCAGTGTGATTATACTATTCGCTCTACGCTGGAAAAAATCAGCACGGATTTGAAAGATAGTACGAATTTTCTTGCGCGGGATATGGGTGTGAACATCCATGTCAAGTGCCCCGGATGTCTAGTAGTATGCTACGTGCCACCGGCTACGGCGTGTCTGCGATGTGGTTCCTGCCACACGTATTTTGCATCGCCTTCGGTTGGGGAGGTGACAAGCTTCCACATGAATCGACTTGCATCTTCTATCTCTAACTCGTTTATGGGATTCTTTGGAGCTAAGCGCCGTGGGCAGAATGAGAACGAGGCTACACGTCGTCAGGAGGAAGCTCGAGAGGCACCAATTGGTCGCCTGATCGCTGCTGGGAAAAGCGTCGTAGAGTCTCCTTGTCCTTCGTTGTCAACTAGTGACGCGATTGAGCTGTCCTCAAGTCTTCAGGAGAGTGAAGTGTCTGGGAATGAAACGGAGGAAAAGCTCGATGCTCTTCAACCTCTGGAGTGTGTCGTAGAGCTTAAGACTCAGGAAGAATGGACAGTAGCCGAAGAAAAGGTGGGAAAGGAAAAGAAAACTCTGAAGTGTCTTGACGAAAAAGAGTGCGATGGGCTGCAAAAGGATGCCGTCGTCCAGGGTACATATTCCGCAGATTTTCCTTCATCAAGCTCAAGAAGCTTTGAAAGAAAAGAGCTGCCAATGCTTGTACGGTCCATACCACTTCGTGCAGCTCTTCCGCCACCCCGGCAAGAACTGATACAGGTGGAGGGTGATATTGTGGAGCTATAGCATTGGAGTAATTGGAAATTGGTCAAATTATTTTATTGACGAGATGGCTAACACTACAAAAGTTGCAGAGGAAAAGGAGAGTTTGGCTTCGTCAAGAACTTACACATGTAAACTGCAAGAATGAAATTATTTGCTTTGATTAGGACACTTGCTCGTCTCTTTCCGTGGTGGCAGACACACGATGGACGCACGCGTGTGGTGTCTGTCGCCTCTATCCAACCTAATACCAAAACAAGTATTGCGGCAAGCAGCGGCGTAGCCTACAAGGTAAAGCTCTAGCTTTGTTGTTTTTGCTACACTTCGCGCTACGCAGCGCTTGCCGGCCTAAACGGCAATACTTATAATAATAATATTGTTAGAGACGATATGCGTGTCTATGTGCAGTATCATGTCACCAGCGCCGGTCATTGTAGTCGTTGCTGTAGCGTTCCTCTGGCATCGAGTCCCATCGAGTACGACGACCGTGGCGCGGTTGCGGCGGGACCTGGTAGTGGTCCCTAGGCGAATAACGGTTGTTACGAGGTGAGTACGTCAAGTTATCTCGTCCCACAGCAGTATACGAATTTGGCGAAATTCTGCCTTGAGGTGGTGAGTGCCGAGAAATGTCTTGCCACTGCATGTGTTGAAGTTCCATACTGTGCGAGTGGTGCAGCTTTGGTCGCTTGCTGGTAGAGGGTAAGGCCACATTGTATCGGTCATTCTGTCCGCCGTTACGGGCATCCTGTCCGTTATATTGGTCGTGCTGTCCGCCAAAATGGTGTTGATCGTGGTTGAAGCCACGGTCCGTTGTCGCTGAGGCGCTGCTGTGGCGGCGATGTGCAGGAGATGGTCGGTGGAGCTGGTCATCTTGATGAGAAGACCTGCGATAGCCTACATAGCTGTTTCCACTGTCACTTCGCCCGCGCATCAATATCGTCGGGGCAACTGGTCGATATAGATCCTCGGCTGCCTGGTATCCTGAATACAAGGGGTCTGAAGCAGACGCAGCCAAGGCAGCTTGCCTTGCACGAAACTCGGCACGTTGTTCCTCAAGTTGCTTTTGTTCGAGTGTTTCCGCTTCACAGGCTGCAATATAGAGCCTTTCCAACGCTCGCTCTTGCTGATCTGCCTCCTCTTCAGTAGTTGCCACTTGAGGAAATATAAACAAATCCGAATTCTCAAGACCCCGCAAATTGCTAATCAGCGCTTCACGTTTTGCAGTCTGGTCCATAAGATTCTTGCGGTATTGCTCGACGTGACCACGGCTATTGTCTACATCCAGGTCGTACACGTGCTGGTCCAATTTACTCCAAGCAATGCCCCCAGCAGTAGGAAATGTCGATTCATTCTCATCTGCCACTATCACGACCTCGTCATCCTCTTTCTCGTCCATCTCCGCACACGCATGATGGAAGACACTGATACTCGACTCCAACTGGAACATCCTATCACTCAGCATATCTGCACTGATCGTGGCATTGACCAGATCCTGCACATGTGCGCCCAACTGTGTGGTCGCACCTGCCTCTGCTACGTCTGGCATATCTTCCAACAATCTTTCCACTGTCGTATCACTTGTCATCTCTTGCAACAGTTTTGCAGTCTTCTCTTCCGTCTTCATGTCGGCTTTAGGCACTTTTTCTCTGTATGACACCAACACACACATATACATACATACACAATTATTAACAAATCTACTCTAGTAGCATATCCTAATATCCCCCAAGCTCTCTTACATTGCAGGCTTTCCTGCACACACATTCTCCAGCATGGCCAGGAGGGACGGTGTCACAACCCCCCGTTCCTTCCAGATGCCTACAATCTTAATAGCGCAGCGCTTTACTTTCTCCTCCCCATTTTTCATGACTAGTTGTACAATATCCACTAGTTTTTCTTCAAAAGCTGCAGCAATATGTCGTCCAAACTTACGTACACCCACTTGCATCGCATCATTTGCCACATAAAGGTAGACAATCTGATGTTCTGCTTCGCCTTCACGAATCAAATTGTCCCAAAGCGTCACCATATCTTCCAAATTCTGACGATGATTAAGCATCCATTGTGATACCTTTTGAATGCTTTGTGTTGTGACTTTTGTCTGCCGTAGCAGCCTCTCCAGCTTCTCACGTGAGTACATGGTTTTCAAAGCTATAAAAAGGTTTTGTGTGCTCCACTCAATTCGATGCACTTGATCCTTTAAATAAAAACCATATGAAACCCATCTTCTGTCATACTGCTGAAATCACTAAAGATTTCTGCTGATCGTCCGAATAAGTCTGATCCAAATAAAAGCACTTTTGTATAGGAATAGGAAAAACCAATCCTAGTTTGTCATGTCTTGTTTATAAACGCTCAAAAAGACACCACATAAGCAACTAGTTACTTACTTTCATTATTCTGTACGTTCAATATAATGTAATGTAATAGAAAGACTGCATTTGTGTTCAAAGTATCAACAAGATGTTGCCACTCACTGTAGTCTGCGGGCAGACTCCATTTCATTTAAATTTTCCTCAAACTGTCGCACCTCAACGTGGTTGCAATCTAGCATCACGTTTATGCATATCCGTGCCATGGAAGCTTGTGTTTTTTCGACGAGTTTAGAAGACTAAGTAAGCTCAACTCTTAGTGATATCAGACACTTAGTATGTTAGATAGCCTGTAGAGATTGCCATTGCGCGCTTCTGCAACGATTCTTCCTTGCATCCGGCGCCATTGCTAATGGAAAAAATTGATCAGAGTGTGTGATTATGTTAATAATGTGGCTTCAAATTGAACGATATCTTCATCGCAACTATTCAAACACTTTGCGCTTTTGAGCCGCCGATGAAAGTGCTATGACGCCACGCTTTGAGCTCTTGAATGTCTTTGTTCGTCGTTTGAAAAGCTATTTCACTTTTTACTACTTTCAATCAAGTCAACAACTCCTTTTGTTGAGAAAAATAGAAGTATCCACTGGCGGGTGTACGTTGCTTACAAAGGACTAACTACCTGTGTCATATACTTCTGCAACTGATAGATAGCAAGCGTCAATGAAACGGTGTTGATGCAGAACCACAGCATTCTAGCCACTAACGTAATTGACATTCAACGGGTTGAAATGGGGTTGCATGGAGCACCGTTGCAATCTATGAATTTGAGTACAAGAAAACGTTGACCGCATGATCACTTTTACTATTACAATGCTTCATCTGTTTTTCTTTTGAAAACATAAGCCCTCTGACAATCTTGAAAAAGAGTACGAGGAGATCACATTTCGTGTGTTTTGGCTACCAAATAGTACTAAATTCCGATTAATAAGCTCGCATGCACAATCCGAGTGACAACTGTTTTAAGCCTAGAGAGAGAGTGAGTTTGATACAAAAAACCAATTTGTGGCTTCTACAAGCTTCCCGTCTCGTCCAGCAGATGGATACAAAATGTTCTTCAATGGCAGAGGTGAAGCAAATACTACATGAAGAATTTGGTAATACTAAACCTATCGTGTGCAATTTATATAACTCATCGCTAGTAGCGAGGTAGAGCAACTGTTTCAGGCCGATCTTAATCTCAGAATCTCGGCTCACGCGTAATGAAAATTGCAATGAAAATTTCGATTTATTTGTTTTCTTGAAACAGCTCGTCATTTGCTACCATGCAATGACAACTTTCTTGTTCGTATTGTACATGAAATCTCACTTCATAGCACTTTATTCTCATTCTAAAAATTGCCGTTTGTTAAACACCAAACTGCCATATCCTTCATCAAGGACAGTCATCACCCAAACCCATACCTCTCCATTGTCCTAGAGCCGTGTCCTGAGCCTCTAACTTCCAGCGCGATACCTTTCAATGACGCAACGCATCATTCTTGGTCTCGTTGTTCTGCTATACGACTATCGGTGCTGTTGTTGCTGACAATATTAGTTACTGGTGTGACTTTGTACGCTCCAAAATCGCGTTCTCCTATTGCTACACATGGTGAGGAGCTCGAAGACGCCGGCGGCTTTGACAAGCGCAAGGTAGAGAACTGTATGCCATATGATATCCGCTCGTCTGTTGTGGACACGAAGGTGATGGTGGAATGGTCCACGCGACGAAATTACATCTCCACAGTAAAACTCCAGAAGGCAGATGATAACAGCCCCGGTCACGCCAACCCATGGCGCTCTTGTCACGATGTTGCCGCCGATGTTGAAGTGCGCTACCGTCGGCTGGGAGATAATGATACGATGCTGGTCACCGAGAAGGGTGAGGAGCCTTTTACAACAAAGACAGCTATCACCTTTACTACTCCCGGAGCCACGTTTAGCACGCACACAGCGCGCTTTGAACTCCCGAGTGCCATGCAGAACGCAGCGTATGAATTCACAGTTGGTTCGGTTTTCCACGGCTGGTCGGCGATTCATCGGCTTGGTGTCACTATTCTGCCTCATGGAGATGAATCCGAGCGATGTCGTCCTAGACACGTGCACACAGCGTACGGCTTGAAGTCGGGAAGTTTGGCTGTACAGTGGATGACTAAGGAGTTTTGTGGTGGAGGAGACGCCCAGTTGTTGCTAAAGGAAGGGTACTTTGCTCACATTGAGGTTGATGGACCAAATAGGACCTCAGTGATGGCAACTGCTAATACGACGTTGTTTGAAGATGACGGTGAGGAGAAGAGCAAGCGCTGGATCCATGTTGTGAGACTAGAGGGATTGAAGCCGGCCACGAGGTATACCTACGTTGTTGGCAACGCACATTACAATTCGTGGTCAATTCCATTCTCTACTAAGACTGCACCAGCCCCACTATTTTCTGGAGAGAAGCCTATTAAGTCCACGCGATTCTTGATTACAGGGGACATTAGCTACCAGAATGCAGCCACTTTGCCGATGATGCAGTCCGAGGTTGCCGAGGGAATCGTGGATGGTCTTGTGTGTCTGAAGGAGACTATGCCTATGATCTGCATCTGGTAAATGGTCAGGTTGGAGATATTTTCATGCAGCAGATTGAGCCGATGGCTGCTAGTGTACCATTCATGGTATGCCCGGGAAACCATGAACAACACAATATGTTCAGTCATTACTCGCAGCGCTTTCGCCTTATGCCGAGCAACGAAATAGAAGGTGTGCAAAGTGTTCACATTGGTGGACGGTCACAAGATGCAAAGCCCAAGAAGGTGCCAAATAACTGGTTCTATTCCTACGACGTAGGGCTCGTGCACTTTACAGTAATCTCTACCGAGATTTACTTTAAGAAAACCCTTGACGTGGACGGAGACGTGATCGCACGGCAAAAAGCCTGGCTGGAGCAAGATCTTGCCAAAGCCAACGCAAACCGGGAACAGACGCCCTGGCTTGTAGTTATTGGTCATCTTCCCATGTACTGCACCTCTGACAGCACAAACTGCGGTGATAAGGCGGCAATGCTGCGGGACAAGCTTGAAGACAAATTTTACATGCACGGAGTCGATCTTTACCTTTGTGGACACCAGCACAACTACGAGCGAGCTTTTGATGTATACAAGTCTCAGACATGGAAGCGTACTCACAATATGCGGGCCACTACGCATATTCTCACTGGTGCGTCAGGTCAATACTTGACGTCTATTATGAGAAAAGCGTTTGAAAGACCAAGTGAGGTTTGGGACGCTTTCCGCAACTCCATCTTTGGGTACTCGCGCATGGAGGTTGTGAATGCAACACATTTACACTGGCAGCAGGTAGAAGCAGACCCTGAGAATCCAGCAGCACGGGGGCTTTACGGTCAAGTGATTGATAACGTGTGGCTTGTACAAGAGCGACATGGTAGCTTTAACTGTTTACCGTAACAATACGGCACACATTATTGCAGCAACAATTTTCAAGTTTCATTGAAATTACCTTCGCGCAACAGTTTATACCTCCATTTCGTACGTCTATTATGTTGCTGTGTACGACCAAGACACAAAAAAGTCCTGTCCCACTGGGAGCATAGCTGATGCAGAATGACTTGCACAATAAAGTGTATGGGTTAGTGGTGGTCCAGTCTATCACTGATTATGATTTTCTTAGCAATAACAATAACGATGAGTAGACTGCAAGCTTTCTCTCCTCTATAGCCAACTGTTGTTGAAAAAGTTTAATGGTAAAGTATCGTACAATAATGTTAACATATATTACACCTTGACGTACTGAACGCATTGTATTGGCTCCGTTGGTGGGGTAAAATGGCTATCTTCTAGTTCGTCGTGGTTGCGGCTAAGCTGCTCTCTGCGACTCAGACAAAAAACGAAAATGATCACCATAAGAGCGCCAAGACAAACTAGTACACTACCGACACCCAGATACAGTGAATAGTTCTCAACAAATTCCAGGAATTCGGCGCGACACTGCATATAAGGTGCTGTGCCGACTGTGGTATCTGTCGTACTAGTGCGAATGATGAGTTCTCTACAGTACGTCATTGTTTCGTTTGTTCTCGGACAGTGGTCGTGTATCCAGTCAAAGACCATTGTGTAATTATTAAACTCGCGCACAGTATCGCATGCTATGCAGACGTTTTCGAGCTCACTGTAGTCATCAAGATAGTCGTCGCATAACATGCTGACACCGCCTGTAACGTTTTCAAATTGTGACACATTCGTCGTGCTGATTTCAGGAGCAAACATGTCCAGAGCTGCATTGAACATCACCTCGTTGCAAATATGTTCGCCTTGCGCATAGCAGTATACTTTCTCAAAATCTCTCTTCACCGTCTCCTCCATGCTCTCCGCTGGATACGTCTTTTCACTCCAGTCGTCAGCTTTGTTCAACAGGATAAATGCAGCTATTGCTACGACCACAAACAAGACCAAGAGCAGTACCATGACGATATCGTATGTGCATATTCCGAACTTCCAGTGACAAGATGCTGCAATGGAGCCTAGCAGCGCTAGTCCGATGATCACACCGCCAATTACAATAAGAGCCGTCACAGCATCGCTAATGTTGGACCAGTAGCCACGAATTGCGTCTACCCATCCAGCGTGACGTATGTAGATTCCTACATACAACACAATAGCACCTCCTAATGCTAGAATGCAGTTAATGGCAATCAGGGTCAGTTCCATTACGTATTGCCTTAAACATGTCCAGAACATGGCGAGGCAGATTGAAGAGTGAAGTGGCTTTGTTTAGGTCGTGTACGCGACATCTATCGAATATTAACTTGTACAGTGTTTTAATCAATAGGGGTGACCACATTGCTCGTGTGGGTTGGTAAATACGATATTGATAATAAGAGAGAAGTACGACTGGATTTTGAAAGGCTTTGATCTGTTCGCAATTCCCAACATATGGGTGGAAGTTGTAAGATTCAAGTTACATGCATACATGTATCAACGGTAGTTTTTATACCATGCTATCACGCCTATGAAACTCTCCAAATCGACACCATTCATTCCAAGCAGATATCGCTTTGGCATCTAGATAGCCCTGCATTTTTTCACCTGACACTACCTTTCCCTAGTAGCCGGCCTAGAAACGTTCATGTGCCGAGTGGCGCCGACTGCGAAGCCGCAAGAGACAAGAAAACGTGATCACCATGAGCGCACCAGCGCAAACGATTAAGCTAGAGACACCAACCCACAATGCGTACTTTTCCACGAGATTTAAGAACTCCGTGCGGCATTCTGAATAGGGAGCCGTCCCGGACGAGCTGTTGCTATTCCCGGTGCTAAGGAAAACGCCGCAGAAAACCAACGTGCCTGCAGTTCTTGGACATTTGTCGTTAGCCCAGTCAACCACTGACGAAAAACTCTTAAATTGTCGTGCTTGCTCGCATCCATCGCACACACCCGAGATCCCATCGTAGTCTTTCAAGTAGTCGTCGCATAGGACGTTAACACCGCCAGTTATGTTCTGAAATAACGACGCAATGGACGCGTCCAATGTCGGAGCAAACATTGCTAGTGCATCCGAGACTGATGCCTGATTGCATATGTACGCGCCTTGAGCATAGCAGTATGCTTGATCGAACTTTTCTTTCACAGATTCCTCGTCGCTGCTGGCTGGATAAGTCAAGTCTTCCCAGTCACTGGCTTCATTTCTCAATAGAAAAGCAGCCACTGCTACTACTAAGAACAATATGAATACGAGAAGCACGACAGCCGCGTAAATACACAATCCCAAATGCCAGCGACAGAATGCAGCGATGGAGCCTAGCACGGCTAAGCCGATAATGACACTGCCAATGACGATAAGTGCTGTGACAATGCCATCAACTGGAGACCAATAGCCTTGAATCACCTCGATCCAGCCCGTTTGTCGTAAGTAGATCCCAAGGTATAGCACCAGAGCTCCTCCTAGCGCTAGGATGCAGTTAATGGCGATCAAAACGAGCTCACTAATACACTTGCCAAGACCCATCTTGTTTGTTTTGTGTGTAAATTTCAAGATGCGACGTTTACGTAGTAAGCATCATAAGAGGCGCACGCAAGTCACTGCTGACCATATATTTTCTTCATATGGGCTCAGTAGTAAGCCAGATGTCATGATTTTTAGATGCCCGAAAATGAGTAAAATATCCATCAAAAGTTGAGAGAAATGGGCGAAAGTCTCCACTCGGCGATGAGATGCTTGGAATTTCTTGCAAAAAACGTGAGTTATCTCAATGCTTTTTTGCACTGGACGGCGATTTCTCGTGCTCTATGTGGCGGTATGCTGCACCATACAGCTGGGTGAAGGTCGTCGAGGCTTGTTTGTCTCCTCCTATCAACGGAATTACCACGGCTCTTGTCTGTGGAGCCGGCCTGATCATGGGCATGACAGTACTTGTGGAAACTGTGACTGCTACGTGTCGTATGCGAGCGGCACTTGATCGTTGTGGTGCTCATACTGCTGTTGTTTATTTTCGTAAGCATCTGCACTTTCCTGCTTTGGAGCATGTTCTCCAGTTGGGAGGATGACGCATACCCGGCGAGCAGCCGCAGTCGATGTCAAGCATGAGTTTGATGAGGTTTACTGCTATACACAAGGTGTGTACATGTGCAATGAAGCGTCAGTCTTCGATGCGCTGAGTATTTTTGCCCCTGCCTTGAATTCAACCGTTTCTTCTCAGTTGAAGCACATTACGGGCAACGTCAACGCAGTCTGCGACGACAACTTGAGTGAATATATCAAGAGCTGGTAGATGTGTGCAATGGAGGCACGCGAGTTTCAGCACTTTTCGTACGTGCTTGAGTAGTGGAGCAAAAAATGTCCCCAAATGCTGAGCATCTTGTCGTGGTGTTGTAATTCATACTTGATGAGAGTGCAGCAAACATAACCCCAGGAACAGCACGTTACACACACTGCCGTAAGGCATTTCTCAATCTTGTTCGCAACTAGTCGCTGTATTTAGCTATTGACAGTGTTCTCGTCATTGTTGGCTCGATGGCCATGTCATCTGCGTCGCCGTCTATAAAGCGTTTATGTGTAGATAGAAGATTATTAAGTCTTGTACTGCAGTAAAGGTGTCAATCTGTTTCAGACGCGTTTGTAAGATGCCTCCTGCTAAACATCTCGTGTCCATCGCAAGGATAACTACAGTAGCAAAGCCAAACACACCATCAATCAAATTGGTAAGTATCTTGGTCACAAGATCATTGCTTGTTTCTTTTTCTTTATGGACAAACTCAATCGATCTTGCATCATCTTGACTATTGTTTGGCGTCGTATGTGCTACACAGTGATGGAACAATTGATCGCAAAAACGTAAATCCATCGTGGAGCTCACATGAACGATACATCGTGCTTAGTTGTTGCCAATTACCAATGTTGTTTATTACCTAATGATTGGAAAGGCAAGTAATAGAGCGAGCAAACCCTAAGCGTACCAGTCATGTGTGACCAAGTTTTCAGATTGAAGCGTTCAATCGTTGTCACCATGTTGTTGAGATCGAAGCGTCGACGACTGACTTCTTTCGGTAGCACCGCATAGTCACGGCCAGTGATAGCAATATGTTGCATAGAAATATTCGTAAGTCACATGGTGGACACAGAAACCCTAGTGTAAATTTGCATCAATGATGTTTGTGTCTTGACGAAAGGACTAACGGTATGAAACAAGAGCTTGCTTTTATCGATCTGCAGTTTTCTCGTGATTCATTGTAATGCATGTTGCTTGGTGACGAGTCTTTATTTTGTACAGAATATCTATGGGATTTGAGCCTAGAACGCCAAATTTTTGGTCTCAAAGAGCACTTCCGTTTTCAGCGCTTCAAAGACGACAATCATCAATTTCAATACCACTGGGCATTTATGCCCAAACTTACAGTGGCCGGTGGCCTGATTGTTCTCGTGAACATCGGCTTTGTAGCTGGTGGTATCCTGTTACTGCGATATAATTCAACGCTCGATAGCAACGGTTGGGCCGATGTGCTGATGGACACAGACTACGAGGCCGCTTCAAGTATCGTCACTTCGATGTTGCAGTTGCTGGGAATTACTATCATTGCATTAGCGCTGGTGGGTATTGTGGGTGCCATCGTTCAGAACCGCCTGCTACTTGTCTTGTACTCGATTGTCATGGTCGTTACCATGTTGGCATTTGGCGTCTTGGCAGGTACAGCTCTTTCGTTTCGGACCAAGATGACGGACTGGGAGACGACGTCTTTCCCTGCTGAAAATGAAGAGGCCAAGTTGGCAGTAAAATTCAACGAGATTTACTGCTATGCACAAGGATACTATTACTGTAATCACGCCACGGCGAAAGAGGCTTACAACAGGTTTGTTCCAAACGCGTCGTCTGAGCTTGCAAATTTGCTGCCCAATGCGACAGGTATTGTATCGTTATGCGACGAGATTATTGGTACAACCACGGTGGATGTCTTGAATACAGTATGTGAAGCCTGTAAGATGTCAACTACGTACGCTAAATACGACAAGATCCTGACCTGGGCGGAAAATCAATGTCCTAGAAATTCCGCAACTGGCATATGGTGCGCTGCTTTCTTGTCGACAGGAACTCCAGGAGAAACGTACAATGGTTCTCCGTACGGTCACTGTCGACCTATCTTTCTAGATATGGCCATTGATTGGAGCTCTACCATTGCAACGGCTGGACTGATAGTCGCTCTTTCAGCAGCTATTATCGTAGCACTAGCTTGCTTTACTCGTCGTTCAAAGGTTGCTGCTACTGATTATGACCGTGTCACGGAGATGTAGTTAGTTAAGTATACATGTACTTAGTCAAATTAATGTCCTAACAAAGTAGCGCTGTAACAGTTTTAACATTTTGTCCTTGAATATTTCACTGACACACTAATTGCCGAGCAACAATACTAATATAATAATGATTGCTAGCACATATATACTGACACAATTATTCTAATAAGTTATTGATTGTCTTATTTGACTATTTAATTGTAGTATTTAACTCTATAACTTATTGTCAAATTCGTTCGTTCATAAGTGCGTGATGATTGGCTGGCTGGCATCAACACTCCATTTCCATCCAAGTGTAATATACAAAGTGGGTGCAAGTATCTCTCACTTCTCTATCTCTCTCTTTGTATCTCCCTACGTTATTGAAACGACAAACAGTGACAATTTTTTAATGGCAACCAGTGGAGAGTTTAAGCGATTAGTATTGAAGCAGTTTCCGACAACAAACGAGATCGAAACTGCTGAAAATACCTATTGGAAAAAAATTTCACGTGCCTCAGGAACTACAGCAAGTAGGACCCGTAACGCACATTGATGTATCTCCCGTAGCACCACATCAAGTGGCAATTACATCATCTACTCGTATTCATCTGTATAGTACGACAACCAGTGAGATTATCAAGACATTTAGCCGCTTTCGTGACGTCGTGTACTCCGGGACGTTCCGATCAGATGGTAAGCTGCTGGTGGCAGGTGGAGAGGCACCTTTTGTTCAAGTATTGGACATTAATACGCGTGCAATTCTGCGATCGTTTAAAGGGCATACGGCTGCTATTCACAGTACTCGCTTCTCGTTTGATAATGTTCACGTGCTTTCGTGTTCTGATGATAAGACGGCCCGTTATTGGGACCTGCCCACGGGTAAACCTTTGTCTCTGCTAGGAGATCATACAGATTACGTGCGCTCGTCAGCAGCTAATCCTTCATCCTACAATATTTGGGCTACGGGATCGTACGATCACACTGTCAAGCTATGGGACTTGCGCATGTCAGATCAGACAGTGTCCAAGAGCACTGTCAGTCTGGATCACGGTGCCCCAGTGGAGACGTGTATGATCATGCCGGGAGGCAGCTTGCTTCTCTCCGCCGGTGGGAGTACGGTTAAGGTGTGGGACATTCTAAGCGGTGGACGTCTGCTGCACTCGTTCTCGAGTCACCAGAAGACGATCACAAGCTTGGGTCTGGATGGCACTGGCACACGTTTGATGTCGGGATCGCTTGATGGACACCTTAAGATCTATGATGTGAAGACGTACGAGCTGTCTCACGGATTCAAGTACAAGAGCGGCGTGCTGGCCTTTGGTATGTCCCCCACAAATGGTCACCTCTTTGCCGGTACGGTCGATGGAATCTTGTCTGTGCGTCGGCGTACTGTGAAAAGAACAGAGCAGAATGAAATCAAGACGCGTCAAGCCCTCATTCGCAGTGGCAGTTACAAATACTTTCTGCGCGGCAAGAACGCGAAACCGGCTGCTACCGACTTCATGGTGACTACGACACGTCACAAGCGAATTCAGCCGTACGACCGGGCTCTGCGGAAGTTTGACTATAAAAAAGCGCTGAATGAGGCTTTGGATACACGATCACCGGTCATTGTTGCTAGTATGCTTGAAGAGTTGCGGCTGCGTGTTGGACTCAAACGTGCGCTAGGAGGTCGTGACGAGGAGTCGCTCGAGCCACTGTTGGCTTTTCTCATCAAATACGTGACGGACCCTAAATACGCTTTGTTGCTTATTCATGTGTGCACGATCGTTTGTGACCTGTACGCGCCAAAGCTCAGCCAGTCCATGCTTATCGATGGCTTGTTCATCAAGCTACATGAGAAGCTTAATGAGGAGCTGCGTGACCAGAAGCAAGTGCTGGGTGTTGTGGGCATGATGGACTCGCTCATGGCTGCACAGTCCAACGGCGCCGTTGGTGTAGAAGCCAGCAATTAGATTAGTGAAGAAACACGGTGCAGAAAGTTTCTAGCTGTATAAACATATAGTTTGTCATTTCGTGTTTAGCGGTTGCTGGCACAGCTGTATTCGTCAGGTTGCAAGCACTACCAAGGAAACTGACTCATTTGAAAGCATCGACCGTGAGCGACAAAGTCAATTGTAGAATGTAGCACATTCGTACATTTACGCGTTGTGCCAACACATTTCAAATCCTGATCCGGACCTGGCTTACTTGCTAGTTTTCGTGTCTCTCCGGTCGAATCGACATCAACCTTTTTTCGCATCAATTCTATCTAGAAAGGGTGTGAATGACCTTGAGCACGTCCTCAAACTCGATGTTCTCCTGAACCTTCTTGGCCTGCATCTGATTGTCCTTGTTAGGATTAATCTGAATCAAATTATTCAAAATTGTCCACTTCTCGGCTACAATAACAAAGGAGGAAAAAGGGAACAGCGATGAAAACAGTGAGTCTAGCTCAGCTAAATGAATAGTGACGACTGATACGATCACGTACCGGCAACAATCTCCGCTACTTCCTCGTCCGATACATTAAGCTTGGCTTTAAAGACATCAGTAGAGATTACACTGTGGCTACAGCGTATAGCTTTCAAAATATAAGCGCGGACCGATTCCAAAAAGCCCTGCACGTTGTCCGCAAACGTCACATCCTGTTTCCAGAAATCCTCAAACAGACACGACTGGAGCATGAAACCCGTGTGCAGCGCCGCCGTTACATTAACATCCTGTATATATTGCACATTACCATTGATAATCACTCACTATAAGAGGTCTTGTCTTACAACAACATCACTCTAAGTTAGAGACTAGGAGAAGGGACATATCAAACCTCGCTTGTGCTCTCAGGGATCATCGTAGTGGCACCAGTAAAGAATGTAGATGGAAGCGTCATGATACCCTTAACTAGAACGTTAACCACATTCTCGGCTTTAATTGTCGATGGATACAACTGATACAACTTGAGTAGCGCTAAATTAGCGTCAATGTCTACAAACGAATTTTGCACCTGCTCGGTCAAATACGTTTCTAAGATTTGAACGTGAATTTGCTCACAGAACCCACGATCATGATGTATTGATAATAGCTTTTGCTGCGTGATTGAGGCATCCTCAAGTGTTACAAAATCCACGATTGTCTGGTGCTTAAAAGCCGGCATTCTATAATGTCGAACTGGGTTTTCCTGGTTCCTATTTCAACAATTTATTATCAAGGTTTTGTTGTTTGGTGTCGATTGGTTGGTTTGGGACATTGATGATACGATTTCAAAGGCTTTGAAATCTAAATAGTCACAATGTAAATAATATAAACTCTACTTGATTTGTTCTAAAAAAGCCAATTAGCTATTTTGTCATTTATAATAATGTCGTAGGGCTATTTGTTTAGGATATTTACCAGTCGGGAGCAGTAGACAGAACTTGCCAATCAGATTTATGGAATCTGAGGATGTGTGCCAAAGCAATCGAGCGCTGCCAAAATACACTACGCTCTTGGCGTGGAGTACAGTAGCCCACTGCTGCGCAAAATGAGAGGATGTGTATGATATCCTTGACATCTAATTGGATGCTGTTTGTGCAAATGGGACTATAGTTTGGCATTGTCCGTGATTGAAGACTAAATGAAGCTGGTCTTGTTGTGCCTCAAAGAAAAGACTATAGAAAGGCTATGATGTATTTGAATGGTGGGTGAGTTTGCTATAAACTGAGGAGGTATGTTCAGGTTGAGACATACATAGTGAACAGGCGAAATGTGGCGCTAACATGGTTAAATAATATGGGCGTTGTGTTGTAGTGTGCATATTGGCTAAGCAAATCCTATGTCAAGAACAGCGCGCTAGAAAAGCTTTAGAAACGCTTGATATGGCTATTTCGACAATGGAGAAAAAAGCAGTTGCCGCACCGATCGCATGCGTGTCAGAGAAACTTATATTGGCAAGGCTAGATCTGCTAGATCCAGGAATAAATGCAGCTGCTACTGCTAATTTATTGCTTAAGGGTCAACTTCGAGTGTCTCAGCTTTGGCACACTCTGGAATAAAGCAAAAAACTGCAGACATATGGTCATGTTAGGGCCGCACGTGTACGCTCCATTTTTTGAAACAAAAAATGGCAATCAGAACGACCACCAGCAGGTGGACATGAGCTAGCATTAGCACTGGTTGACTGTGCAAACGTTTGCAAGCTATCGATGTCTGAAGCCTTGGTCTTTGTGGACTGGCATTGGTGAAAGTTGATCTGAATCATACATCCACGGATCCTGTTGAGGTCAAGGAATTGCTTGTAAAACTATTTATGATCTGACTGTGCATAATTTTGCAAACCCGTTGCACTGCAATGATGCAAGCTGCGAACTTTTCAAAGTAGTAGATGTTTGTATGTGTGAAGATGAAGACGAGTCGAACGAGGAGATTTGCAAGCTCTTGGAAGAGGCAAAAACTATTTTCGTGCTGACAAGGGGGTAAATGAAGCTGCATCAAAGGCAAGACCTGTGATGTTGTTTCCAAAGATTGTGCGGTGGAAAGCTGCTAGTGGAAATACTGTTGGTGCTGAAGAGGTTTTGGAGAAGAATGCAAAGCTTTTACGTCGTGCCTCGACTCAACAGTGACCTTATGTTCGAGTCGCTTGTTGGACTTTGCGTCGTGCAAATTAGGTCGGGAATACTGAGAAGCCACGGAAGTGATGAAGGAGATCGAATTACTCACCGCTGTACCAGATTTCAATGAGGTCACGTCATAAGAGATCAGTTGCGAAGTGCAGTGACAGCGGCATGTAGCAGGTGGGGTCCTCTAAATTGCCGTTGTAGTTGCTGTCGCTATGGGTCGGTATTATGAGTTTATAAGGGATGTCGGCCATTAATTTAATACTGTATGCTTCTCCCCTATTTCTTCGTTAATATCATTTCTTATCTCTGCATTTAAAGCTGCAAAATAGCGATATCGTTAGAAATCGTAATATAAAGCACCCTTGATTGCATCTATTCTTCAATTACCAGTTTTTCTTAATTTTCATCTACGATAATGGCGTTAAACGACGTCAAGTGCGAAGCGACGTCAAGTGTGAAGGCGGAAGTGGCTGCAGACGATACGCACGCTAACGTCAAGTTAGAAGAGAATAAGGACAGTATAAAGGCAGCGGTAACGAGCGCTGTAGTTGTCGAAGCAGAGGCGTTTCGCGAGGATCAAAAGACGCACGGAATGAAGCAGGAAAACGACTACATTCAGGCAAAAAAAAGCAGCAAATGGAGTGAAAAACGAGGAAGAAAGCATGAAAAAAGATAAGGAGATGGTCGTCATGCCAAAAGGTATGCAACAAGCTGCTCGTAGCATTAAAAAAAGAGACGTAAAGCCGGAAAGAGAGAGAAAAGATCAAGAAGAGAGGGAAGATTGCTCTCATATTCGACGTAAATCTATTAGTTGTGGTGTCGCTCTATGGGATTCAATTGAATGGTTATTGGCTGCTGGAACTGAAGTAGATGCGGGACAGAAACTCGGTACTGTTGGACGCCTGGAGGACGGGAATCAGAGACTGATGCAAGCGCCATGTAAAGGCCGACTGTATATTCTGACAAAACAACAGTCAGAGGAACTGATGGGGGGATGTAAAGGACAGTGCAGGGAATACGAGACGGACTGTGGCTTTTGTAGAGTTTTGTATACATCCTGTGCGCAATGGTCGCACATGTTTGATGTGTCTAGGAGTTGTGGAGGACGATGAGGATAATGGTGACATGGAAAGTGTCAATGTTGTATCTCATGGACAGGTTATTCGACTTAATGTTGAAGAAGCAAGTATGTTGACGATGCTAGATGTGCGCGCTCGAAAGTTAGTTTTGACATCTGTGTCGGTTGCTTGTAATTGACGTGTGCATATTAGAAAGATTCGATTCGGACAATATTAGACGCCAGCTTGGTGCAAAGAAGTTGTCGCTAGTGTTGGATCTGGACCACACGTTGCTGCATGCCGTGCGTGTTGATGATGTGGTAGGCGATATTGCCAAGACAGGTATGATATTTGCTGTGCATGTTTCCCGACGCTTCTGAGGTTTAACGGGCAATGTGGCTTTGTAGACAATCTTCACTTCTTCTTTATTCCCGGCCTGGTCCAGCAGCACGTAGTAAAACTACGACCAGGGCTGACAGAGTTCTTGACGGAGCTTTCAGCGCTGTATGATTTGTTCATTTACACGCATGGCACGCGACTGTATGCTGAACAGATTGTAAAGATCATTGATCCGGACGAAACATACTTTAAGAACCGGGTTGTGGCACGCACAGATACACCTGACATGCTTCACAAATCTCTGAAATTGCTTTTTCCTTCGTGCGACGACTCAATGATCCTTGTTCTTGACGATCGAATCGACGTGTGGAAGGATAATGAAGGGAACGTTTTTCTAATCGAGCCGTACCACTATTTCAAATGCACTTCCGAGATCAACAATTCGTCCGGGCGTGGTATAGCAGGTATGGAGATCTCGGAGGCTACAGCTAGCGAGGACAGGCATCTTGCACAATCAACGACGGTTCTGAAGGTACTTGTATAAGGGATAGCTTTGGCGACTGCTGCTTGTGGAGTTGGCGATGCTCATTTTTGGTTGGTTTCTTGATCTGTAGCATGTTCATGAAGCTTTCTATGCGGGTTACGAAAGAGGTATGCAAGGTACAACTGCGGAAGATCAAATGGCTGGTAACGGTCGTGATGTTAAATCAATTCTGAGCGCGGTGGGTTGTCAAGTTTTCACGTTCTCGTTTTTTTGCTAGTATCTAACCATGACGTAACTAGCAAAAACGGGCTATTTTGCATGGCTGCTCTATAGTATTCAGTGGGGTGTTCCCGATTGTTGGACCTCAAAGTCATCAGTCGCACTATCTGTGGCGGCTATCGGTAGATTTGGGTGCAGTTCCAAGTATGACGTTGACAGATTTTCCGCTAACACATCTTGTGATCCACCCGGAGCGTTTGGGAACGCAAAAGCACGTTCAGGTTTGTGGCTGGCGCCTTCAAGTTGATGAAAAGAGGTTGCAATTTTACACTCCATAATTGTGTTTGGTGTAGGCAAAAAAGATTGCTAGCGTGCTGATTGTAACGCCCGATTGGATCATGAAGTGTGCTCGAACATGGTCTCGCGTCCCCGAACAGGACTTCCTTGCAGACGAATGGAAAGCTAGGCATGCAAGCAAAGAACCTGCAGCGACGATAGATGGTGACACAAGCGCGTCTTCTGAAGATGCACCAGCCGAAATATTAAGCGCAACCTCGACAGGCTCCAGTAGTGATGTAAACGAAGATCAATTGCTTGCAAGAGCTCCAGTTGCAACAGAGAATAAACCGGTAGCAAGTATTCTAGTAAGCCAGGAGGGCGGTGCGAATGGCGGTAAGCATGTCACGTTTGCGAAGGCTACTGACGACGCTGGTAAACTTTCTGACGAAGACCGCACTGCACAAAAGTCAAACATGGTGAGAAGGTCTCGAGTAGTTCGTAGATCGTCCGGCACCTGTCATGCTGGTATTCCTGTTATTTGTGGTGCTGTTACAACTGGTGTCGTGGCTACTGGTGGTACGTTTGATTTCTTGTCAAAAATCAAAGCAACGAAGCGTAAACCATCCAGCATTGCCAAGGTGAAGAAGGTTAAAAACTCTACGAAAGCTCCAGCGCCCCTAGTATCTCCACCGAGTGTACGTAGCATCGAGTGCTTCTGGCCACTTCCGCATTTGTTAACGAGTCTGGTGAGGTTTGGGTGACCAACAGGATGTAGACGATGCCTTTATGCGACTCATTGCGGCTGAGGAGCGTGAAAATGAAGAGGAACGAAAGCGTATGGAATCATCAACGAATATTAAAGACCGGCTTATTACCCGACGGGCCAAAAAAGACAACGGCAAACGAACGCATGACTCAGATCCTGCTGCAGCAAGGCCTGAAGATAAGCGTATGCGAGTCATCCCCCCAGAACAGATCGATGGAGTTGAAAGCGCTGATGGCGAGGACGAAGAGGTGAGTCTTGATAAATACTGCCAGGTATTGCTTGGTCATATATTAAAAGCTTGTGCGAGCAGCTGGATGACCTCGAAGCTGACATTCTTGGGGACCTATAAAGCCTGTATCCTATGCGAATATCACTAGCTGCTCTACACTCCAGCGTGGTTGGTTGCTCGCGGGCATTGCTCGAGTGCTGACCGCGGCGTCACGAAGTGAGTGAGGTTGCAGACACGACCAACCCTACCTGAGGTCAACCTTGCACTCTTGGAATTAATTGATCGGCTCGAGACGAATGTAGTGACCTTGAGTTGGACTGTGTTGATACTTAATTACCAGACCAAACTTCAGCTATTCTACCGACGCTAACTGGTGAATTTGCTTTCAGAAGGTACGATGACGTGGTGCTTTCGGCCTCAAGAAAAGAAAACATGTTTATCACGCAATATTACTGCACAGCTGCCTCATCGAGGTCAATAATTATGGCATGGTTGACCCTTTTTGGCGTGTGAAGTTAACATTGTCCATTCTACGACCATGCTACGCCAAGGGTTTGAGTCCCGTTTGTTAGGTGCATTATTGTCTAATCTATATTGTCAGTGCAAAATCGGCTATTGCACATCTCAACAACTATCCTACACATCCCAAGCATTAGTAGGTGAGCTATAATGATGACAAGTAAAACGAATAGGTGGAAACGTATATTATGAAAGTCATTCCATGCAGTGTCAAAGGACAATACACTAAGATAAACGGCTGCGTGCGTGAAACGGCGTGGAACGGAACAGGTAGTACACATGAAGATAGCGATACCTGTAACTACTATATCGGCATCTAATTTAAGCATGCATTGACCCGGTCGGAGACTCGATTGACGTCGCGTTGTAGAACTTGGAATACCATTCCCATGTCTTTGCCAGGCCCTGCTCCAGTGGAGTCGTGGGTTTGTAGCCAAGCAGCTGCTTTGCTTTCGAGATGTCGGCGCTTGTACGTGGCACGTCACCCGGCTGGTTTGGCAGAATATTGATCTTTGCTTTCTTGCCTACAAGACCCTCGATAATCGAGATAAAGTCCGTCAATAGCACGGGCGTACCTCGGCCGAGGTTAAACACCTCGCAACCATGACCACGGTCTAGACTCAGTACAACGCCCTGTACGATATCATCGATAAACGTATAGTCGCGCGATGAAGAACCGTCTCCATACTGATCAATGGCCACACCGCGAGCAATGCGGTCCATGAACTTGAATGGCGCCATGTCGGGGCGACCGCGCGGACCGTAAACCGTGAAGAAGCGCAGTCCAATGGTATCCATACCATGCAGGTGATGGTACGTATGCGCCAACAGCTCACAGCTCTTCTTGGTCGCGGCGTACGGACTCACAGGGAAGTCCACAATGTCCTCTTCACTGAAACGTTCCTTCATGCTGCCGCCGTACACTGAGCTGCTGCTTGCGTACACGAATTTACTGATACCAAACTCGCGACATGATTCTAGCAGTACCATTGTGGCCACCACGTTGGCCTGGATGTAGATGAGTGGGTTGTCAATGCTTGGACGGACGCCCGCACGGGCCGCCAGATGCACTACCGAGTCAGCTTTGCTCTCCTTAAGCACACGACGCACGAGCTGCTGGTCGCAAATATCGCCAATGTACACGCTCACTTGACTTCCGTATGTCTTTGTGAGCCAGTCGAGGTTGTGCTGCTTAAGCTTTACATCGTAATAATCGTTAAGCTCGTCGATGATAACCACGTCGTCTCCACGAGCCAGTAGTGCCTTAGCAGTGTGAAAACCAATGAACCCAGCGGCACCAGTGACAAGAACACGGCGACGTGAAGATGCTGCGGTACACGTATTGCCAGCAATAAGCATGTTTGATACTTCAAATGGGTTTGGTGACATTTTGTGTGCTTGTCTTTGGTTGGTGCTTGTAAAGAAGGTTGAAAAATGATAACTGAGGATTGTCGAGCATGCTAACACGGGATCGGACGGTATGTCACGTAATTGTTATGAAAATAAGTCTGATCAAGAATTTGCTCTAGAGAGTCTTGACTGGAAATGCGGCTGTTAAAGATACTTAACAGAAACAGCTCAACTAAGCTGACAGACTGATACTTTGTTTCCCGCTGGCTGGGTATGACTTTATGCAACCTGTTAGACGAAGGGTCCGTTTTATGAATTAAACACGGATGTTATGGTTCTTCAACTCAACTCACAACAACTGGTAGCTATTCACGTAAAGGAGGAACCTATTATCCTAGTCTCACCCAAGAGTTTTTTTGAACGGTTCCATTAAGCGCCGAGATGTGTCCAGACTTTGCAACGTATCACGCCTATTATTAGGCACGGAGATGACATTTGTCATGTCAAATTTGCAAACAAGCCAGAAACGATCCTTTACTTGAGGACTCTGATGGCTAACCTGCTGGTTTTCAGCGATGCTACCATATCAGCATGATGGTGAACAAAGCATGTAAACACCTAGACATGTGTTCGCCAGAACCTTAGTAGCAGCCGGTAAATGGAAGCTTGGCCACGCACCGCTGAGATCTTACAATGTCAAAACCAGTGATTTATCGGAGGGATCGCATGGACGGATCGGTCCATATTTAAACCAGCATCTTCATCGCATGCGTAGAAACGCTGGACTGATCGCATGTGAATCTGCCGCCTTTATCCTGAAACGGATCTACAGCCATCATCATGCAAGCTTTGCTGATAATTCATATGCTTCGACAAAGAAGTAAACGAATGAGCGAGAGCAATAATGGTACATGTCATCGCAATAATACGTTGGCATCATTACAACCTCAATGGAGATCACATATATACGTCGCTTAAGCCAGCGAGGTACACATCATAATGACAGGAAGGTTGCAAGTACTTGATCGACTGAAGTGGACACAGGTAAAGCCATCTCAAAACAAATCTTCAATTTGACGATATGTATAATGTTTTACACGTGTCGCGATGCAGCTGCTATCTGCCGACAAGTACCACTAACTAGCTGCTTTGAGCGATTGCATAGCATTTTGAGAACTGCAATTCGCTGAAGTTCTTCATCCTTTCTTTAACTTTCGATCTCGACGCGTTCGCTTGTACCCGCAGACTATTGGCAGAATGCGATTACGTATCAGAAATGGCGCTGCTATTGTGGAAGCTGTGAGAGTCTGTACTCAGTGGTGGCTGCAGTTGAGAGGATTTATAAAGGTCCCAATGCAGGTGGCTGAATCATCAGGGCAATTACATATGATTGCATCAACGTATCGTTAATCCTGATTCCACGCGATTGCTGGAGGAGCGAATGCGTTAACACAACTAGTCTGGCGTGACACGTTTGAGCTTATCAGACTGCTTTGGCACGTTGTTGTACTATTGGAAATTTGTAAGTTTAATGGGTATGCATGCGATAATAACAATCTAAGCAGGTTTAATTCGCATGATAACTCGAGTTCTTACATAAAAAATTAATAAAGATAATGTTTTGTTTGTATGCTAAACTGCTATGCTAAAACTGGTATGCTATACTAGTATGCCAAACATTACTTTAGTCTTTATTAATTTTTCTTGAGCTCAAGTCCACGAAACCCTCAATAATTGAGATAAAGTCCGTCAATAGCACGGGCTTACCTCAGCCGAGGTTAAACACCTTGCAACCGTGACTACGGTCTACAACGCCCTATACAATGTCATCGATGTAACGAAGGTGTGTATGTTACATACACACCTGCTACACCAATGTGGTGTGGCTGTACCGAGGGTACAAAAGGAAGTGATGTGATCGTACCTGAAGTACGAAGGGTCGCATCGCACATAGTCACTATACTTATTTAAAGTATAGTGACCACGTCACCATAGTCACTATACTTATATAAAGTATAGTGACCACGTCACCATAGTCACTATACTTATATAAAGTATAGTGACTATACATGATTGCATAAATAACAGGCTAAAGAGCCAGTAAATAGTAACTAGCACTAAGTATAAAGTAGGTCCTTTTATGTAGTGTTAGAAGATAAACATAAATATAAATCAGTTTCAAAACCTGCTCTGTAAGCCTTACAGCTTAAGCGCTCTATTCCTTCCAAGGAATCAGTATCTCTGATACTAGTCTCTTTGAGACTCGGTTATAAATACCGATAGGCACAAGCTTACGAGCTAGCCTAGGAGGGTTAAACACCCTAAGACGTAGAAGCTCTTTGAGCTTGTCTTCCTCTGCACATAGTGCATAAGTAGATTTGCTACAGTAGCTCGGCTACACCTGGTGGCACTTGTAGTCAATCCCGCACCTAGGTTTACGACTGCATCTCTGTGTGAGAATAGACATCGATGAGGTGTCAGCGGTTGGCCTGTCCCAGGTACAACAGGAAGGGTTGCAGAAGCTGCTCCCTATCCTTGGCCCTAAGGGCGTGGAGCACCTCATCGCCCAGGGCGAAGAAGAGGTTAACAAGCGTATTCGTACGCTTGATGAATATAATAAAGCTCGAGTCGAGCATGTAAAGGCACAGATGCCTTCTTCTGTGCCTTTGCCCATGGTGACTATGGCGCAAGAAGTGGTTCGCAGACCAAAACCCATACAAATGGAAGTCGATAAGTTCGACGGCAAAGAAGGTGACAACCTTATGCTTTGGTTCCGAACAGGTTGAGTCGGGTATGTTTATAGCCAAAATCACCTATGAGCCGTACCGTGTGGGCTTTGCCACGGGCAAGTTAGGTGGTTTAGCCAAACAGAGGGCTTCACTTGAAGTGCATCATTGCAAGATGCATTCCCAACGAGCCGATCTAAAAGTTCAGATGACCCGGCAGTATGCACCGCCAAACCAAGCACACCGGAATCGGTCGCGGCGTGTCGCCAAGGCAAGCGTGAGCTTGCGACATATGTGCAAGAGTTGAGAACTCTCATTGCTGACATGGTCATAGACCCTATACCTGAGGCAATGATCGTCACGGTCTTTATAGAGGGCCTCCGAGTTGGCGTTGCCAGAATGAAAGTCTTCCGGGTAAACCCGTGCTCATTCGAGGAAGATGTTGAAGTGGCATGGAATGCCAAGACTAACTCTAAGACCGCTAGGCCTGCCACGTATAACTACTCGTCTGATGGGTCTGTGCCCATGGACTGTAGTCAAGTGGAGGATGAAGAAGCTGAGCTTCATGCTTTGCGGAGCAGCGCATTGTGCGCATATTTTATATCTGCAAGAGCACAGGCCATTTGATGGCAAAATGCCCTGCAAGAAAGGCATATTTGGCCTCGAAGGGCCGACGCCCCATGGGTAAACCCTCTGGTTTGCCGCGAGGAAACGGCGGAACCCAGTAGGCGCAAGGCGACCTACTGGGGAAGAACTGAGTTTTGTTGAACCTCTAGGGGGTAGAAGCCTAGCCCCAAAGAGATCCGAACTCTCAAAAACGGAACAAGAATGCAAGCCAGGCTCCAGTCGTCGAAGGGACGGTTAAAGGCTATGATAAGCCATGAATCATTTTGATTGATTCGGGGGCATTGGGCAATTATGTGCGCCGTGTCACCGTGGAAAGTAGTCAGCAGTATGCTGAAGAGCTTGTAGCGCGTGAGAGTGACACAGTCACAGTTTGCTTAGCGACGGGTTACGCGTGTTACGGTACCCAAAGTACCGATGGACTTAAATGTAAAGTTCTTGGACTTTAACAGCATGGAACGCTGTTTGGCCTTAGACCTGGATGCGAGGTATGACCTCAACTTAGGCATGGCATGGCTAGAACGTCATGAGTCATGGATTGATTGGAGATTGAAGACCTTAGGCGCAAAGCGCAATACTACTGGTTGGGCTATGGAGAGTCATGAACCTACTTCTACTAGAAAGCAGCGCTTTTGAAGTGGAAATTGTACCGAATCGGTCAATATGCTAGATGGCGAGTTATGTGACTTTGTAAACGCTGTAAATGTTGAAACCAATATCCCCGGGTGAGGCCCACGGGTTGGTTGAAAACCCACGTGATGACACATATGACATGTGATGATATATTGCTAAACACCATGAGTGGAATGAGTGGCTGCGAGCAGAATGGTCAGGAGAATAACCCAAGTGCCATAGGTGACGAGGTACACTAAGTCTACCTGATGGTCATCCTGGTTGATAGTGGATTCATAAGCCAGATTTATCTACTCAGCGTATCTTCGAGATCCTAGCGAGAGGGTCAATGTTGCTTTTCTATATTCACCTCATAATTTTGCTCGAGTAAATGCAGGGATGAAGCTAGACCTATTGCTGGGCAAATCCAGGGAAAATTGGAACCCCCATGCTTCTACTAAGTGGTATAGTCAAGCTAAAGCCTCTGGAAAGGTCAGCAATAATCGCGCAAACTTGTTGTTCGATACTGGCGCCAAGATATCCATTCTTGACATCGCCTGTGCTCATAAGGTAGGCTGACAAATCGACGAGAGTAATCGACAATAATGTATTGGCATTGCGGAATCCGTATATACTACGGAAGGACGCGCCTGCATCAAGGTCACCCTGGATGAAAACTTGGTGTATATTTTAAAGGTTGGGTGGGCCTAGCGGTGGGCCAAGGCGTCTTCTTGGACATGGGCTCCATGTCCCCAGTCGTAATCCGGTTAGACCTGGAGGACGAAACACTCTGTCTTTCCGATGAATTTCGAGTAGAAATAGGCAAAGGAAGCTTTATAATAACTGAGTGTCTGACGTGTAATCGAGTTAACATGCACAGATACAGGTTGAAAGGTCGACCCCGGAACAATGGACCTGTGGGTCACGAGAGGAGAACGATAAGACGCGACCATGAACCAAAGTGTAGGACGTCAAAAATTCTTGAAGGTGATCAATGTCAGCGCCCACACCCTAATATTGCATGATGGTCTCAAAATAGGTATGTGGTTGATGAAGGAATTAGTTCTAAGAGCACAA